GGCCCACACTATTACCATACCCATGCACTTTCACTTGCACAAACGGCCTAAAGCTACCACTTCCCACACACTTTCACTCCTGAAGCCCTTTTATCTGGTTTGTAGTTAGAGACTAACATTTGAAACCACACAGCACATGCAAAGCGGACAACTGATGACTTCTGGCATCGATCATATCAAACAAGCTAGGCAAAACCTGCACCCACGCTTTGCAATGGTAAACCTCTTATGTGTGCGTGTGTGTGTGTGTGTGTGTGTGAGAGAGAGAGAGAGAGAGAGAGAGAGAGAGAGAGAGAGAGAGAGAGAAAAAAAAACACAGAGAAACAGAAAACAACATGTCTGTCTCCTGCTAAACCACAAGCCAAATGTCACATCCAGTACATCACAGTTGAAAGGAAAACCACTGAACCAAGTTCTTTTTCTCACAAATAAACAAATATATTTCACTCATTTAACATGCTATAAAGCAGTTAAAGAGTTATCTTTGTAACTTCTTAATGGTTTTGCCCAGGTGAAAAAAAGACACTTTGGATTTGGCTGCTTCCTTGCAGAAAAAAAGATTAAAAAACAGGTGTTTTCTGTAAGAAATGTATGATATTATATCACAAGCAAATTGATGTGGTCAGCACCAGCCGCCTATCTCCCCATTACATTAACCATCTGTCCACACAATCCTCAGTGAGATCAACAAGACACACCTGTGTGCATTTGGGGCTGATCCAGAAGCATGGCCTCCTTTTTTATGATTGATGATGATGATGCATTTAGCCTGTGATAAGCTGTAATGTGGCTGTATTGGTCGATTATTAACTGTAATTAAGCTCTAGGATCACATGTAAGCAAATGTACTCTGGGTTTGCTTCAAGTGCACTGGCACAAAGGGCAGTCTACTGTACACAATCAATGGACAGATGGATGATAAAGTTCAAAGTTCAGGTATAATGGCAGCAAACAGATTCTCTGATAACGTACACAATTTAATTTCTCCTAAATCAAATAAACTCTTTCTATCAGGAATGGATTTTGGCTTATCAGGAGTTGATTTCTTTTTCAAAATGAGTTTACAGCTGAGTGAAACTCTCCATATGTTCTTGATGTCCTTAAGTTTCCTGTACTATTCACACATTCTGCATCACAGTATAACATCTGTGCAATGTTGACTTACGCTGCATTTTACACACTTCTGCTTCTCCTTCTATTAGCTGCCAATATTTAAACAGCATCCTTCTGAAGAAGCAAGTTTGCGTACTTAGCAATGTATTAGTAATGACTATTCTTAATCTAACTTAATAGAATGATTCCATGTACATCTACAGTATGAGAACATTTAGCTACTTTCAGTATTTCTTTTATTTTTTAAGTCTTATGATATTATAAACAGCTGTTCTAAATCAGGAAACACTACTTCTTGAATAAAATTTAGCTTAAAGTTCTTTAGCCAGGTAGGTTGGCTTGCATCATTTGTTGTACAACTGCGATATGGTAGTCAGTTGTCTAGTAGTTGAAGAAACAGTTGAAGCTAAGCTTTGGATTGCAGCCAAAGTAATGCAAACTGGCAAATACATATGTGTAATGAACTGTGTCTGCACTGGTCATTCTAGCTGAGAATACCATAGCTGAGTCAAGATAAAAGCAACACTTTCCAGTTCGCTGACTTCTCTTATCTGTATTCAGTGTAACCAAGGTTGGCACACAGAGCCTTTTGTTTTTTGTCTTGACTTGCTATAAGCAACCAGGTCATATGGGTTACAGCTGCCACTCACCTTATTTTGTGTGCAAAAGGATTACAGACAAGTTTTCCTTCCTTAAAGGATAGGTCTGGCAATATTCTTTATTTTTTATTATCCACAAATCCCACCAAAAGACCAAAACCAACAATATATTATTCAGTTTTTCTACTCTCAGTAGCCAAGCCCATTCTTCCCTACTGAAGATGGAAATCTTTAAAATGGGCCATAATTTTTTGCATTTAAAAAAAAGGTAAAAAATGTCCTTGCTTGTTCATTGCAATGAAGGAACATGTCAACTAGTGCAACCGTGTGGCCCACTAATGTGTTTTTAATTGTTTTTGGACAATAATGGAGATTTTTAGAAGAGTGCATCATCTACAAACATGAGAACACTACAGACAAGACAAATTAATTCCAAATTTTGAATCAATAATATATGTCTGTGGAGCTCACTTCATCTAGAGGGAAGTCTTTAACCTTAGGCACGAGTGCCACCATTGGCACGTGGTAGCTTAATCAATGTCACTCTAGCAATAAGGTGCTATACATGTGATCTATATGAATGATAAACGCAGTATCAAAATACAATATATCTAAAATGATTGCTGTCCCATGGCTTAAGCTATGGTTCCCTATATGAACATTTTCTGCCAAAGTTAGAACAGTTTTTGGTTATTTCCCATGCTAGATTTATGTATATGGGTTTTTGCTCACTGGTTAGAGCATGGGAAAAATATGATGTCATAGTCCTACTTCTGTGCACCAATCAGAATTGAGCTACATTTGAATGAAAATATTAAGACAATTGTGGGCTTTGAGATTTCCTCACCAAACAGTAAGGATGATTTTTATTTTTTAGTTTTGAGTGTTAATATCAAAGGTTATGAAGAAAAACTAGCTTTAACTATGAACTTGCATCATTGTGTCTAATATTTTTGGAGCGGACAGGGCAGCTGTTAACGGACAGACTGTTGCAGGCATCCGACCTCTCCGCCACATTGGTTGGTGAATCTTAAAGTTGTACTGCCACTTCCACTATTTTACCAGCTAACCACACAAAATAGAAGAGGACCACAGACTGATCTATTTATCTATCTGCCAAAAAGATTGGTAGACAAACTTACAGGCCCAAGCAAAAATTTAACCAGAGTATGACTGGTGGCTGTTGTTAATTTCCCAACCTGTCTGTCACCCAGGCCATTTTTGCAACTGAGTGAATTCTGAGCTTCCTCTATGGCTCCAAAGAGGCCTATAAAATAGCCATAATTGTTATGTAGATGAGCGATGAGGTTATGTCCTCGGGTGTATAAATATATCTTTATATGAGAGCATGGTAGGTAATGAGCAGTCATTATGATAGGGGCTGTCTTAGATTGCAAACTGAGTCACATCCCAAGGGCTCCACGCTGCAATATAAACACACACACACAGACACACACAGACACACACACACACACACACACACACACACATTATAGTGCTGGCAGTTTTCTCTTTGGCCCGCAAATGGATAGAAGGAAGGAAAAGGAAAGAGAAAAGGAGAGCTAACAGAGAGCAGATAGCTGAAACCGCAGCTTTTCACTGACCTGACAGAGAAAGGGAGACAAATGGAGAGATGGGGTTAGAAATGGAGACAGAAAGAAAAGGCAGTGAAAGAAATAGAGAAATCCTACCACCCAACTGCAGGAATGTCCTGGCTTTCACAGACAACTTCTGCCATTACAAGAGAAAGAGAGGGAGGACTGGTGTGCTTGGCAGCTTCAGCCTCTAAATCAAACACATGAGCTACAGTAAAGGGAAACCACTGCAAGGAAACCATGAATTTGATTTTGACGTTATCGGTGTCAGCTCTCCTATCTCGTGTTGCACTACTGGAGTTTCTGTGCCTTGTGCAGTAATCATACATTTACACACTTCTCTGGAGTCTGATAAAACCAAAAGGTCTTCATTATCATTTGCACCACCACGGCTCACACACACTTACACAGCAGGCACGCCCCTCCTCACAAAAACTTACACCACGCTGACACCACGGAGCACACTAAAATGTCAACCACATTTGTTCTTGTACCAAAAATACTTACAAGAACAAATAATCACGGTGTCTTTGTCTTGTAGTGTTTATGTATAATAATGTTTTCCTGCAGTTTGCCTTGACACTAAAGCGGCTCAGCATTGCTAGGGTCATTGCATTATTGGATAACCACAAAAATCTACAACTGTAAATGCTGACATGGTAACAAAAAAAGGCCGTCTTAAAGCCGTACCGATTGACATTTTATTTTGAGAATGAATCAAATGAATAAGTGTAATCTGTAACGCACACATAAAGAATTATCACCTGACTCGCATTTTAGCATCTTTCATCTCACTGTTTTGTTTCAGTCTCACCACTCTCATCAACCTTGTTTACACCCACAGCAAGTAGCTGTTGCAAAAGCACTGATAAACTGATTGTACATTACTTGCCCAGCACCAAACAAAGAACAGACAGCCAAGGTTAGCAACTAGCTAGTGAAGACAATGGAGCATTTAACAGCTAAATAAGCCAGATATTTCCCTAGGTGGAGCCCAAAACAGAGATAAAAGTAGAGTAGAGTTTTGAAGCCAGAAACATGACATCTAATCAGTTGCAAGTAAGGTCTGTGCACCAACTGCCCGGTGTAATGGTAAATAATTAACTGGCAGAGAACAGCCATGTCTTTTAAATTAGTGTTTTTCAACCTGAACCCCCAAGGGGGTCGCAAGATAATTTCTGAGGGTTGCCAAATGGTTGTAGAGAATAAAATAAAATAACATTTTGTAGCTTTTATTGTTTTTTATGCTCTATCAGACATGTTGACTGTTGACTATGAAGGTGCGATTTTTTAAAATAAAAAGTAAAACACAAATTAGTTGTTGTTCTGTTTGTGAGAAAAGCAGTGACTGACCATGAGCCAGTGGTCATTAAAAACCAGAAAATGACCCAGGTGTCCTCGTTTAAATATTTAGGTGTCCACATAGACAACCTTCTCAGCTGGAAAACACACACTGATCGCCTGTGCAATCGACTGTAGCAGAGACTTTACCTTCTCAGGCGTTTAAGACTGTATGGAGTAAGCAGCCAGATCATGCTGATGTTTTACTGGGCGATCCGAGAGAGTATCATTAGATATGGAATCACAGCATGGTTTGCCGTGCACAGCAACAGCGCAGATGAAAAGCAGGTTTGCCAGCATGCACAAAATAGCTATGAGGATAATAGGGAGGAAATAATATGAGCCTGTACAGAGCCTGTACGAGCACACAGTCATGAAACAAGCAGCAAAAATCAATGTGGACCCTCAACATCCCCTCCTTTCTGAAAATGGACCTCTACCATCAGGAAGAAGATTCCTTGACTTGTTCACAACTCGGCAGGGCACTTTTTAAAGTATTTTTACGGTAGGTAAGTTCACTCATTTCCAAAAGTAGCTTCCGTTTTACTTAGGAATATCGGTGAATTATAGTTCAAGTATAGTTTTAGAGAGACAAGCAACGAAGTCAGTCCACTTCAAAGGTAGCGCAGGGTCAACGGTCAAACTGTTTGTCTTCCCCCCATCAGGAGTGCAGTCAGTGGGCCGTAGAGAAGGTAGATGGAGCGAGATGTAGGTGGAGATCTTATCAGCACTGAGCCTGTTTTGTTAAAGGAGAAACTTGATACAAACTTTCATGTGACCGTGCAGAGACACTTCAGTAAAATTATCAGATTGAAAAGTAATCTGTATGATAACAATGATCCATGTAAAATAGTTTGTGTGATAGATAAACAAGACACTTATGTGCTCACATGTACAAACACACCACAGTTTGATCAAAATGTATAAAGTTATTAAAAAGTAAAAAATATTTTGTACATGATGATGAAAAAGATAAATCTGATATATCATAATTATAATATAATTCAAAAAGTAACTATTTATTTTATACATTTTGGAAACAATGAATCTATTAAACCTGAAATAACTAATTTTGGCCATTGCTGTAAACATCAGCATACAATATTAAAGGTTCCTTGTGGAGTTTTTGACCTCATGCTATGGAGCTCTTTTTCTATGAGTTGGTCCCCATTTTGTTCATCTGCTGCATGTGCTCGAGGGTGCATGTGCACGGCTGATGTGTTACACAATCTTGCCAATGGTTTCACGTTATTACACTGATCACCAGGTGGCGGTAACACGACAACTGCTAGCAAACAAATTTGGATTTGGACTAGACTGGATTTTAAATACTTTAAAACTCGGTTTTGCAAATGTTTTATGCAGAAGAAAATGCATTCAACACATTTGTTAGACCTCAAGAACACACAGAATGCATTTTGGTTAGAAGCACAGAATGTAAACATAACTTTTCTCTGTTCAGAATAAAACTCGACAGGGCGCCTTTAAGTTAATATGGTAAGCTAGTAGGAAACAGTTGCCTATTTACGCATCAGGTCATTGTGTGTAAGTCTGAATGAGAAATTTAAGGGCTGGTGAAAGTAACTTCTTAGGCCACTTTCTGGCAGCGGAACAAGCTCTAAACAGGGAAGTAAGATATAATCACTTTATGACGTTGTGGCAAAAGTGTTGGCAAACAGTCTGGTCACCTGATGAATGTAAGTCCAGTATACTCTTCTCTAAGCTATATTTTGGTTAAATATCTGGCTCTTCAGCTACTATTTTTGTTCTGAGCAGGTAGTGTACATTGGGTTTTTGGAGCTTTTTGACTAAAAACTTGAATGTTATTATGAAAATATTGATGAAGTGAAAGAAATATATGCTTGGCATATCCGTGTTTTGTGTGTATCCTCTAATGTGTTTGTTATGGTCCATATATAGTTTTTATTCAGCACTTTTGTATTATACAAGATCACTTTGGCAACTGAGCTAAGCTCAATGGAGAAAACGTGGATGAGAACACAACAAGCAAATCCTAAGCTGACAATAATATTCATCCAGGGTCAAACAAGGAAAAATGAAAAACAACAGATGGAACCTGCTGTAAACTTGATGAACAAACAGTGAATAAACATGCATTTTCTTTGTTTTCATCTATTTTTGGACCTACGAATCAAACTAAACTGGAACTAGAATGTTTATAACCCTTTATTCACTCTTTCACAAAATGAAGTGTGCATGCTCTGTATTTGAGAAAACCTAGAGATGACTGATGAGCTTCAGGTAATGTTTCAACCTCAAAACTGACACCCTAACATTTTTGGAAGTGAACCCCTCATATGCTCCAACCACCGTGCCATAAGCCATCTCCTGGTAGGAAATCGTAGAGAGTATTGGGGCCCAAATTCATTCCTTGTCAAAACAGGACATACTACAGCGGCCATTAAATTGGAAGGAATGTTGGGAGCACGTCTCGTAATTTCACTCTCTGTCTCTCTTGGCCTCTACCTCTCTCGTTTGCTTTTGGAAAGGCAAAATGAAAGACAGGCGCTGGTTCGCGTGCTCAGGGTCTCACCGCACTGAACCCTGAGGGTAGAAGTGTGTGAGTGAGTGAATGTTGGGTGATGAAGGGCGTTTGGAGGGGACAAGGAGCATATTTCACAGGCCAGACAGATCAAAGAGTGACAACATGGTTGATTATTTAAAGTTTTCTTTCTTTACCTATTTTCTCTCTCTTTATATTTGTCTATCTACCCTTTTCTCTCTGTTATTGGGCAACTATAAAGTCCACTGATCTAATTAGGGCCTGCTTAAAGAGATCAAGTGGAGCCTCATGTGGAGAGAGAGCTTGGAAATAAGTAGTTGTTGTTTTTTTTGGACAGTGATTTGGAAAATACCCAGCTTTACGGGTAAAGAGGAGACTTTTCTGTCATTGCTGCTCTTCTCCCCTCTCGTCTTTGCCGTTTGACAGCTGCTCAGGCACGATGTAGCTCAGAGGTTTGATTCTGAGGACAAGATTTTATCTCTGACAGCTGTCTGAAAGTGGGACATCTCACCAGGTCTCCCAAAGGTGCGTCACGAAAGTCATATAAGGTGATAGCACGGGCATTTGACAGGGACACTCAGAGATAAGAGGCGAGGCAACAAGTGAAAGATAATATGCAAGTGTACACTGCAACTGGAAATTAAAGTTTAATGGATTAAGAATACAGGAGGTTTAAAGTTTCATGCCAGGCTTTAGATAGGTAGTGGATTATACACATGGGAGACATAAAAGGTATTTGATTTCCTGCCAAAAAATGTACAAACGCCAGAATATTTTCCACACTGAGCAGCCACATATGGCTGATTAACAAAGGAGAGGTGCTGGCTCTCACATATACGCCACACATATACAATATGCTCACCATTCAGCCCTGTGTAAAACATGCCAAGTCATCATGGTGTCAGCTATTTAACTACCATGTGACAGAAAGAATACAAAGGTAATGGTGGTCAACTTGCACTTGGTTAAAAGTGCAACAAGATGCTAAACCTGATAATGTAGCACACACTGTCATCTTGCTACCACAGTTTTACAGCAGCAGTTGGGTTTTGTTTGGGTTGTGGTATAATGTTTGTGATTTTACTACGACAAGGGGTGTGGCTATGCTCAACTTCACCACTCATACGCATGCACACACACAAAGGCACGGTGCTATTTTGCCAGTCTAGTCATGAAAATGTGGAACTCAATATTCAGATCCTGTTTTTTCCTCTTCTTCCCTTTGTGTGGCAGCTGGTGACAATTTCACAACTATTGCATAAGGATTAATAACCTCTGCAGGATCAACATTAAGACAGAGGTCACTGGTTCAAATAATTTCTTGTAAAGCTCTAGCTTGCTGCACCAATTATTTGAAATGTATTGGAAGAGTATAAAGTTATTATGGCATTATATTATATCTTGACAAATTTGTACACAAATAAGTTTAAGTGTATCAACATGTCATAATGTATTATTAATCCTTTTTTATAAAACCTTTTTTAGCTTTGATTCTGCAAATGTGGAATGAAGAATTTAGAAGACTTAAAATGACTCTGACTTAAAATGAGAGAAAACATACAAACAAACACACAAGAGGAACTGATTTTACTACTAGGGCTAACAACCAAACTGGTCCAACCAGCAACTCAACTGGAGCCAAACTATTTCCCTCCAAAACTGCTGGGCGGAGACACAGGTGCAGAGGGTGTTGGCAAGTTTCCCTTTCTGCTCTGCAGGCAGGGGACATTTCGCAACAGATAGAGGTACTTTTCCAACTCAACTGTAAAGCCTGTCCGGGAGGGTAAACCACTACTGGAATCTGTGCCAGTGTTTTTCCTTGCATTCCTCTAGAAGATGTATGTTAAGATGAATGTCAAGTTGTAGCAGAGAGGCAGTAATAAAACCAGTGGTTCAGAGCTTTTATTATAGCCTGACTTGATGCAAATAAGATTAAATGAATGAATAAAAATAAGAGAAAAACCTGTTTCCACTCAAGAGCCAGGAGTCACTATAGTGCAAGTGTAAGTGGGTGTGCCTGTGTACCTTAGCATACAGTATTTGCTCATTTGCAAATGCATACAAGCATTTGTGTATGTAGCTGTGTGTTTAAAGCCTGTGACAAAGCTTTGACCCTGAGTGTAAGATAGATTTAAATTTATTATACCTGTGCGTGCAGGCTACAGTTGTAAAGTTTACAGTAATGCCCATAAATCAAGCTATTCAGGTGGTAATTAAATCTTCATTACAGACAATAAACTTCTGGGACGTGTACACTGCTCTGTAGGAATGTTCCTATGTCAGCAGAGATATCAATTTACACAGATTATGAATTTATTGATCTGTTGTAATCATGCTACTATGCTCCCAGCTGTTGTTTTTGTGAGCCAAAAATTGAGGAACAAAATATTTAATTGTTTACCCTTCAATTGGGTGCCATTAAAAAGTTTGGTGTTCATTCAGATTTGTGCTTGCTTCCTTTTAATGCAGACGACCTTTTTAATTACTGTTTCTTTAAGCAAATCTTTGAAACTGTTAAAATGATCTGTTAAATAACGATGCTGCTTCAATTTCCTTTTGAGATGTTAAAAATATTATAGAATAATTTCCTGATGTAGTAGAATCCACCTAAACTCATGTCAAACAAACACTAGTATCAACAAAAAGTATTTATTCTGTGTTTATTGTTCCAGTATGTGTTCTATTCACACTAAGAACCAGTGTTAACAGTAATGTAAACATAATACATAATAAAGACTTAACAAACTGTAAAAATCCAAATAGACACTATTATAGAAATATCTCCTCGCCTCTATAAAACAAAGTTTAGGAGTCAGCTTGACTATTTCTGGCTTACGATAAAGAACTCCACCCTCCCCCATGTGCACGTGAGCAGGCCACTGCGATACACAGGCCAAGATAAGATTACTCCCTCACACTCTCTGTCTGTCCTCCCTCTCTCCTCTGTACTTTACTCTTCCTTCCTCCCCCAATCTCTCTCT